CGATGCAATAATCTATTGGTCATAGTTTGGCTGCTTTAGCAAGTAAATAATGGCATTACAACTCATAAGTAATGTAGTACACTGGATAGTGCACTTTTACTACTTTTAATTTGGTCAAAACTTTAATACTACAAGTTTTTAAGTCAATTAGCCAATTTCATCAAAGTCGTTTTTTATAAAAGTCCCATCAAATTAATCTATGTATTAATATTTCTTTTACGCAAATAAAGTCGCAGGCGAGTCAATATAGGAACTTACTTGGCACAGCTCACTGAAGAAGAGCTCAACCAACTATAGATTAGTTGCCTTCAAGAACTGGCAGAAGAAAATGTAATGGATTAACAATGTGAAAAAAGCAATTCACAAGGATATTGAAGATGGCTTATATATATGAGTATGATATATATTGACTACTTGTAAATTCCAAGTATGGTCAGTGTGATATGAAGAATACCAAATGATAGCAGATAAATTCAACTTATTTTTCCTTAATTGATATGAATGGAACTATTTTTTTTTTTTTTTTTGGTTGCTAATCTTTTCAAAACACTCCAGGCCGAGTCATTTAGCAAATAGTCGAAGTGGACCAATCTATGCTGACTATGTAGCAAAGCTTCACACCGAAAGGGCTTCTACGTCTAGCGTGACAAGAACTGAAGGTCCCATGCCTATACAATTGTGGGGGGATGGGTATGGAGGTGTCTGACTAGGTTTATGGGTCATGAATTGTTTGTTTCTTTACTGATATTGTCCCTCTTTTACTAGCTATTTTATGTTTCACCCTCATCAATTTGTCTACCACCTCCACTTTCCATCTCAAGCAGGCTTTTCAAGGAAAACCCTTTTCTATCTGCTTGATTTCCTGGGCTTTAGTGTAAGTTTCCTTCTCATGCAAGATTATACATGTTCTCTATGTACTTTAAAATAATAAACCAATAGAATACGAGCCATGTGGCTGAATTTATGCATGCACAAAACACAAACTAAAGCACTTATAAATCATAATGAATTTTTGCACACCGAAAAATAATGATGATAAAAACTAAATAAATGATTTAATGAACCTCCACCTTATCCTTTGGTTTTATCCACTTTGGCTCTATCACAATCAGAAAGCTTGATGGCGTAGAATGTAGGTAACAATCACCAATTGGAAGAGACTGTGTAAGACCAGACTAGTATCACAATCACAGTGATTGCAAAGTTTTCCAATAACATAATTATAGACCTCTTTTATGTTATCAACATTTCATTTTCTACATCACCACCACTTCAATTAAAATTTTCTTTCTGTTACACTTACAGACACTGTTTACAAAATCAATTTTACCATCTGCCTTTAAAATGGTAATTTAAAAGAATAAAAATGCTAGCTAGTAGCTTCAAACTGCAGCTTAAGGTAGTTTGATAAGTTTGCAGTATATGATGATCAAGCTAAGCAACAAATCATAATCGCTTGTTGATCAACTTGGTAAACCAAGAGGTGGGGAGAGAAATGAAACAGTGACGGAGAGCACATTCCCTTATTATTGTTTCACAAGATCAGTTGTGGGTGCCCTTAATCATCAAAGTTGACCTGTTATGAGTGCAATTTGTTTCTAATTGCTAACCGTGACATGCCTTAATCAATTCCAAGTGTTCGCAAATGGTGCTAATCATCCCTGGGGAGGAGGAGGAGGAGGGGAAGGGAAGTGTACTTGAATAAATTTCTCCAAAAATTACTACTTGGGCTCTTATTGTAAACAAAAATAAAAAATATAGTATAGTTATTAATTAAAAAAGAAAAGAAAACTCAGTCAAGACAAAACATAAATTTCTCAAACAACAAAACTATGCTAAAACAGCATGATTTTTTTTTTTTGATAAATACTAAAACAGCATGATTGGCTAAGTAGAAAATATAATACCTCTTCCCTTTGGCTTTAAGTCAAAGGTAAAAAAGTTCTTATAGAATCATTGAGGTCACAAATTTTGTCTTTAGCTCAATTAAAATCACTAGCTAAAAGTCTGGAACTTACTTAACAAACACCCATGAACCAAGTTTTTAAATGCAACGTGCCACTATATACTCATGTCATGGTAAGAGTTCTAGCATAATTGCCCCAACTTTTTTGGAGTGTAATCATTTTTCAATGAAGTATTTTACTGAATCCCGAGGGAATGGCTTAATGGTAACACTCTTACCTCACTTTTTGGAGGTTGCGAGTTTGAATTCCCTTGAAACCACTCAGAAAATTTTGGAAAACTCTTTGGGCCAAACTAGGTTTCACACAACCTCCCATTTTTTTAAGATAAAACTAGTTCCTGCACATTAAAACAAGTTTCATAAATCTATTTGATAATTTGAATACACTAGCTTAATAAACTTGTATTGCACATTAAAAAAAAATTTCTTTATTGCAAAAACATCCTTTTTTTAATTTTTAGAATTCAACTACCAATTATATTCCTCATTCTATCATTATAACAATTTCCTATTCGAGAAGACAGGAAACATACGCGCTTAGTAGTTTCAGTAGTAATTCAGGTCTTCTTTTACACTCTAGAATAAGTTTCTGCCAATACATTCCAGTTTCAATTTCATGGTAAAGTTGTTAAAATTCAAAATTAAATCTTATTGTCTATGCAGTAGTATGTGCATGCCCATAAAGGTCTTATACATGTTTTTTTTTTTTTTTTCCCTAGTTGGTACTCACACACATATGTCTCTTCTAAGACTTGAACCCCTGACCTCCCTTTGGGAGGTAAGAAGCAAATACCGCTAGGCCACTGACCCATTGGTTCTTATACATGTTTGGAGTTCTTTCTATTCTGCTCCTAATCATTTGTTAAGAAATTAAGGCCAAGTTTTCTTTTTAACTCAGATGAAACACTGTCTTATGTAACTAGTATTGAGTCTTAATGTAGTTGACACTTTTTGTACATGTTACCCAAATTTCAAAACTTAAAAATAAGCATTTGCTAGTTCATCCCATATAAAGAAACAAGCATGTTTTTGTGTAAGCTATTATTTTAAGAATTAACAATATAAAATTGGCACAACTTGATAGTTGGTGATTTGTTTCCCATTTGCTTCAAATATAATCACTAATGAAAAGGTCAGGTAAACAAAAGGGACAATTGTTCGTGTGAATGGTTATACAGCACACCATAGATCACATAAGTAGGTCTTTATTGAATACAAGTTGTGAAACAATCAAAATGTAATTACCCAACATAAATACCTTTTGAAGGGTGTCATGGGCTTCAGGCCCAGTCCATGAAGACTCCTAGGTGGTTTGATAGAACAAAGGTGTTTCTACCCATGAAGACAATTTTGCACAAAGGAGCTGCTGTCCATCTCAGGCTTCTCAATGAGCTTTTAAAAAGGAAAAGCTTGTGTCCAACTCTGCAAAACCACAACTAAATAAGTTTTTTACTGAATTTTCCAACTATGACTTGGAAAGAGATTTCTCTTTTCTCAAGCTTATGCATTCTAGAACTGCTGAACTGACTATGAAAGTAATTACTTGGATTAAAAATTACTTTGAAGAATTTGTCTACAAGCAAAAAACATCTGAAAGATTCAGCAGAACATATACAAGGTATTAAGTAAAGCAGAAACCACAATGCTACCGTCAGATGAATTATTCTTAAAAAGGTCTAACGCAAAAATACCAGTAAATCAGAAAACCTCAATGGTACCACAAATGAAGGGATTGTAAGAAGGCCTAATCCAGAAAACCTCAATTCTACCATATGATTTAGTACCAGCAGCAGCAGCAACCTATCCGCCAACCCCTGGTAACTGCAAAAGGAACATACTAGTGTGTAGCTTGAAACAGTGTATTAAAATTAGTCATCAACATAGAAAACTAGAGCCACCAAGGCATTAACCCAGGTGGTGTCTCCTGATTCTCCTCTCCTTCCAAATTGAAGGTTGAGGGTTCGAGTCTCCAATGGAACAAATAGTTGTGTCTGACCTACCAGAAAATAAATAAAATAATAATAAAATGAAATAAAATACAAGCATCTATTGACAGTCACTTGATATCGTGCTAACAACAGCTATCCATACAACCACATCTTCATCCAGGATGATCACAACTAGCTCCAATGTGATTTCTGTCTTTCTTTCTTGAGCAGATGCCATGATCATGGAATTGCAAGAAACTCAATTCTTCTCAGGCATTTCATCAAACTGTTTCCTTGTATCCCCATTCCAATTTTTATAACATTCCCCCATCTGATCAATTTTCAATTACATGATCTGATATTCTCTCTGTAAGTGTCACCACTTTTTCCTTCTTAATACTGGGGATGCACCAAAGGAACTCCATTTCTATTATGGAGGAATTTGGTGACTATATACCTATTTAATTCAACCATTCTCTCTGTATTGAAAAACTCAAGTTGTGTAGACATGAAGTATTACTGTTGGATTGGACAGACAAGTACACACATTGGCAGTGTCCATACACTATGTATAAATCAATGTTATGTTTTGGTAATTTTATTGCCTTAGGGCCTAATAATTCAATAACTATATTCTTACATGCAGAGAACATATTCCCCAAAAGGGCTTTAAAACTTTCTAACACACCCTTTTGTCCCTTTGAACAAGGAGAGTCCGTACTCTACATGCAAAGACAAAAAATGTATGGTGAAGGCTTACTCACCCTTTAATTTTCTCTACAGGGCAACTGCTGCTTGTCAATGTTAGAAGGTGAAGAGAGGAATACATTAATCTTGAATTTATATCTAATAAACAAAACTCAACAAGCCTTGAACTCAAGTTTTAAACCAACTTACTCAATGTAAGGCACTTTCCAACATGTTCATTACTTGGAAAGCTCTTTTGGTTGGCCCAAGTTCATTACTTGGATCTTTTCACTAAAATCACCTGTTGTCAGCAATTTTTGATGCAAACATTGAAACCAAAGTAATAGAAGTAACAGAAATTGAAGAAAATAATACAGATTTATGCCATGTGAATCCCACAAAAAATGGCAATCCCCCGATCAAGAAAGGAAATATTTTTACAAAGAAAGAATGTCTTCACATATTACATGTAATACTTACATGTCACGGAATTGTTTATCCCATAATGAATAAAAAATATCATTACAATTTAAGCTACTAAACTACCCTGAAAATGCCAACAAAACTGCATCACCAAAATAGCCTAATACAAGCATACAGCACAACACTTCAGAGCAATTAATACTCATTGTTCCCCAAGGCACTGCTTCCCCCAAGAATTATTATGCCAAACTAAAGATGCATGCATACATATGATGCCCTTTATCAAGCATTGTCTTACCTATTCTTCTTCTGAAAAATCAGGTTCAACTGGCTTCTGTAATGAGTTGAGGAGGTCCAATTCAGATCCACACCGCCTGCTCCCACCTGTTCTAGTGCTTGCTGCTAATTTTGCTGCATAAATGGCAAACCCTGAGGCCAGTGGGGATAAGGGTGTTCCCATTTTCTCATTAACTGGTTCAGGCAAAGGAGCCGTGGTACTCTCAATAGCCTTGAGCTTAGCTGCATCTTTCCGTCTTTTGTACCGGAACCAAGCTGCTTGTACAAAGCAAGCAGCCCAGGTCCTCCACTGGTGTGAGTGACACCTAAATGTGTGCCTGAGTTGTTTGCTATGCAGCTTACGGAATTGAGATGCTACGAACTTCACGTCCTCCGCAAAGAGAGCAAAAGCTTCAACGCCAGAGATGGCTTTCACTGTGCGTGTGGACGTGGGAAGGACAACACTTGGACGGGGATCTAGTGCCCAAGTCAGCAATTCCTCACCACAGAAGTCACCTGGGCCAATACTAGATGAATTGAAAAACCCTGTGCGGCCTCCACCTGTAGTGAAAGAATCTAGGTAGCCTCGAATGATGAAAAGCATCTCATTGACAGGGTCACCTTCACGGACTAAGCAAGTGGCTGGAGTGCATAGAACTGGTTTCAGTCTTTCACATATTGCATCAAGCATTTGCTCATCCATCTGATCAAAGAGAGGAACCTGTTTTACATTCATAACCAAAAGAAAGAATCAGAATAGGACCAAATGATTATCTTCTCCATGCTATAAAGCTCAGAGTGAGGCTCACAGTAAAGAAGTATGGCATTCTGTATTTACTTGGAGGGAATTGTTTAACAAATTTAGTTGGTTTATAGTACCTTTTTTTTACCTGCCTAATATCCACATAATCATAAATGTAGTTCAAAACAAAAGTCTTTGTGTCATAATATTTAGAACCATATGAAATGAAGCTGCTAAGTTAGTCTTAATGAAATTCTGCATATTCATGTGTAAATAGTTTACAACTTATACATTTGCATAATAAATAGTAACGAGAGAAGGAACCAAAACTCACACGTCGAACAAGATCAAGGCAGATGTGACGCTTGATATCTCGTCGAAGATCCAAGGGAAGGTCCTTAAGAAGAGCTTCCTCATCAACTCCCCGAGTTGCAACCCATCTATACTGATCATAGCTGCGCACCCTCCTCTTCAATTCATGTGGTAGCTGTCTGCGATGCATCCATTTTTCAGTATCAATCGTTCTAATTCTCCACTCTTCTAGTCGAATAGTGGTTGATTGGAGGTATGTCTGTCAAGGGAAAAGATACAACATAACTTCAAGAATTTCAGCAAACATAGTGCGAAGGTGTGAAATTTAATCAAGCTATAATTACCGGGAAAGAAAATACCAAATTATGAATAAATTTCTTTTTACCCCCATATGGCCCCTCCCATCAAACTGCTAGTTGGAACAAGCTTTATTATGAAATCAACTTTGTAGTGAAATTGCTTCATCTTATTAGTCTGAGATATCATCTAGGATCTCATATGAAAAATTCTATTCGCATTCCAAGCACTGATTACATTTAGTGTAACAATGCAAGCGGTTGGCTCTTGTTAGGTGGTCATGTATAGAGTAGAGAACAAGAAAAGGTATCCCATGGTTGGACTTACTTCCATATTCCCAATAAGCAAGGCAAAAAGCACCAATCCGAGTATTGCAATGATAATTGCAAAATTTATTTCAGTGATGTAGGTGCTTGTTTGTAGATTCTGCCCTATACTGCTGCACAAATTAAAAAGAAAAGGTGATTGTTATTTCAAAAAATATTTGCATGTTGCTTTCAATTATTGAGACTATAGAATAATTTAAAGGAACACAGTGGTGCTTGGACGCCACACAGAATACAAGAACTGTACACTTTTGTTCTGTATCACATGAATTTAACCAGTACTTTTTGTTTATCACAACAATTAGATTGAGTCTACTCACTTCTTGAACTTTCTTTTTTCTAAATGTTTAGTAAAAGTGGTTGTTTCAAAGTTCTAATCATATTCTTGTTGGGTCCATTATAGGAAATTGTTGCCTTAAACTACAATTAAAAACCAAATGGGACAAGCACCCTCCTTAGTTACCTCAGGTTCCTCAGGCCCCACCAAAAACTGTAGAAATACTTGTTCAAGAACTTCGACATTGTAATTCCGAAAGTTATTGCATCACCGTATATGCCAAACTGAAAGAATTCACCACTTGGATCACATAGGTTGGAAACATTGCTTGATTTGAACCAAGCGGCTCTACCAGAATCATCTATGCTTCGGCAATCAAAATACCAATACTGACAATCTGGATGTTGACGCCTACAAACTTCTTTCCAACATTGTTCTTGCTGCTCAATTGCCAAAAGGTACCAACAGGAACCTACAACCTTTTTAGAAGCAAGGGAATTAATGTTTTGAGAGTTAGAATTCTGCTTGAATTAATACATTAGTGACACATATAATGACTCATATAAGAGAGGAAGAGATACACACACACACACACACACACACACATATGACCAGCATCAAATTTTAGTATCTATTAATAACCCAAAGAAGCTCAGAAGGGATCCTGTGTGAAGAAGAATTTTGCAGAACTATGCATTATAGATTATGTCAACTCCATTAAATAAAGTGCAATCTAGCAAGATAATTCAATATACACTGAAGCAAAATGAATTTATCATGTGTCTTTTGCTAAAATCATAGGAATGAGAAATAATGGCTTACATGGCTTGCCAACATGTAGAGAATCAGATTGTAAGCTGCACCAGCCCATGCTGTTCCCGCCACAACCCCAGTGGCCTTAATAATTTGAGATGAGAGAGGAAAGATAAGATATAGCCTCAGAAGGAACTGACAGATGATGACGAAGCGCAAGACAATTTTTAAATCGATCATCTCTGAACCCCGTAGATGTGGGATTACAGCCCAAATTAACACCTGTTATAGTAAAACAATTTTATAAGAAACATATGTTTCAGAGTCCACCATTATAACCAAGATTTAGAAATGCAATGCATATACTCCAATTGATAAAAAAAATAAAACATAAGTTAATGATTGGTTTCACTGTTATACCACGAATCTAAGAAGAGACTAAAGCACTAAACTAGTATCCAACTATCCATCCAGTCCTTGACTAGGAATCAGTTCTCTTCCATTGAAGAGGCCCTGATACTCTGTGTGATCCCCAATAAACAGGGCAGAATATATGAAAAAATGGATTCTAATAACAGGGAGGAGTTGGCAATTACATGCCTTTTACAACAGGGGAAATTTAATCGTAGCAACTTTTTTTTCTTCTTTTTTCTTTTTTGCAAGTTTAATTTGATTTCGAATTCAGTAACAGTTCTCAAAACTGAGGAAGGGCCGTCATATAAAGAAAGTAATGGTTGGTTGTCAATACCTGTGGAAAGGGTATAGAAGCCAATACGTCAAGCCAAAAGTCCTTGTGAAGATACCTTGAAAAAATCTTTGAAGGGTCTATAACCAGCTCTCCTCTCCCAAATACACGAGAGGGAGGAGCAACATAGGCCGTTCGAAAGCGAATATAAATCTGAATCAAGTAAAATGCATCGACTACAGTGCAAATGACCGTCAGGGCTATCTCAAGGGTCCTACTTACTTCCATGCATACATCCTCCCTAACAATCGGCAAGTAAAAGAATAGGGGATCAACAAAAAGAGAGACCAGACATGCAACTAAGAAACATTTGTTCCATCGGTTTATGACAGGTCCTCGAGGATCAAGTATCTTCCTCTGCACTAACTCATAATCCTCAGAGAAGACTCTAGTAAGTTCTCTTTCCCGAAAGCGCGTGCCCTTTGCATCCATCTCGGCGTTATTTAAGCAAGACTTGGGTGTTTGTTTCCCAGTGATACTATACATAAACTCGAACCGGCTTCTTTGTTTCAATGGTGCTGCAGTTTCAAGATCATCTTGAAATCTGAAAATGAACACAACAAGAATTTCAGGATAAAAATTGTGATAAATATGGACATTATTCTGTATCTATTTGATTACTAATATATGTTAGCTGAGGGATGAAAAAGAATGATGGCAACATGCTAAATATCTCTGCACAATGCATTAACCTCAACCCAAGACTTTGAAGCAATAGTTACTTTCATCATACTTGTTACATTGGAAGTTGGACAAACCTTACTGATCTGGAATTACTAAATGCCATTGTGCTCGAACAACAAAAGTGATGCGACTTCAGTTGGTGTACTTGATCTGCTATAAAAATAAATCCAGAGCAACATAAGCAGGAATCATCCTTGATTGTTCAAAGACACACATATTAGGTGATCTTTCTGTAAGGATTTATTGTGAATCATATGAAAGAAATATCCAATCCCATTTTGTCTTTTTTGCATAAACAAGTGAGCTTCATTTCATTTTCTAATGATTCCTAGAGAGCCTTTTTATTAGATTTTGTAGCGAAAAGTAGAAGAAATTGATTTAAGTTATTTTCAGTTGAATTATCAATATAACACAATATCATGATTTTCAAATTAAAATAAAAACGGACCACAAGAAACACAAAGGCAAGGCACAAATCAGAATTACAAAAACTTCCACAGCGCTTAATACATATGATTAATCTGTAGCAGGAATGACCAATTTAGAAAAGTGTTAGCTTATGCCAGTGGCATTGGAGAAGAAAAGGGTCACAAAAAAAATAATAACTCTTAGAAAATAGTAAAAATGAGCCTAAATTTAAACAGACAGAAATTTTTCTGTCATGAACAACCTAGTTAAACAGAGTATAATAGAACTTGCATTCATACCATGTACTGCTTCAGTAAATATCAATCAGGGAAATTATTTCCTCCCTCTATCTTCCACACTTCTCACCTGAGAATTTCACATCTGAATATAATTCTTTTGTGGGTATTGAATGAAAATGTGAAGATTTAGGTATTATATTTATGGAAGGAAAAAACTAAAAATCAGAATATGGCATTTGGTAGTTTGCATTTTGCATGATAAAAGCTTTGACCACTCTGTCTTTTCTTTTGGGTACGGCATTTGTTGTTTTTGTCTCTTTAACCATAATTAATGTATTTTCCATTTTTCAGAATCTAGACAAAACGACGGTACATGTGCATATATATGAAAGATGGAATATAAACATAAACTCAGAATATCTTTAAGTTCTGGATTTTATGGGATCATGAACTCAATGAGAGAGGTACTTGATGGATGAAGATAAAACTGTGGTACAAAATTTGTGGTTTATGATAAATGATACTCAACATGCAATTTTTTGTAACACAGGTCACAAAAAAATATATATCTCTATTTGACTTCATCTTATCACATGAACTATATAGATCAAAAGGATACACATTAGATCAAGGTTCAACTAGTTTCAAATTAAATTTTAGTTAAGTTGAATGGCTAAAATTCAAGTCTTTCATTTATTAAATTAAATGAAAATTGACAATCTATGCACTGAAAGTTTACTCAAGTTGGATGGCTAAAAAATTCAAGTCTTTCATTTATTAAATTAAATGAAAATTGATGAAAGCATATATGTATGTATGTATGTATGTATGTATGTATGAATGAAGTTGTCTTAGAGCCCATACATAAGACAAAGTAACGAATCTGACTTCGAACAAGAGGGGTCTTAAAGGTTATGCTCAAGTGGTGTGCAGTATTCAATTATTTTTTAATATAGTAATATGGTCAGCAACCAATAACGTTTCAACACCTCAGCATATAAATGTCTATATTCCCCTCTTTTGAGAACTCAATTTGTTTTTATTAGTGAATTTTTTTATTATTATTATTCTTCTTTCTTTTCTATATTCAAGTTTGATTTGACACGGGCTTAAAGAGCTTCTTCCGTTCAATTTTTTTAAAATATGAAAATCATTTTGGTTGTTATGTTATAGTAAAAAAATAAATAAACGAGTTTTAAAGAAGAGAACCCAAAATTTTAATTAATTAACTAATATTGTATTTGGCAATCTTGAAATTGGAATTGGTAGAATTAGAGAAAATTTTAGTTCAATTTTTTGAACTTCTCCAATTTGAAAGTTCCGAAACTTCAATTCCTTGCCGGCCAAACATAGCCAAAGGGTATGTTAGGTTACATGTAATTGGAGTTTGAAATTAAAATTAGTAAAATTTGAAAAAAATAATTAAAAAAATTGAACCAAATTTTTTTTAAATTCCACAGAATTCCATGGACCGAACACACTTAAGTAATTTTTCATCAATTCTCTCCACATTGCATTTTAGAAACTAATTGTAAGCGTTTTTACGACTTCAAAAAGGCATTCCGTTGAGAGGCCAGCTATAGTAATGTAGTTATGACTAAACATTTGAGTTCAACTCCACCACTACGTCCAATAAGGTAATACTCAACCTCTATCATCCCTATCCCTAGCAAACCAATATTATTGTTTAGAGTTCGAAAGTGAAACAAAATGATTTGTATTAATAGAGATGGACACCAGATTTGTGTGAATAGAGATTGACATCATTTTGATGCCATTGATATTTCTAACATGATAAAAATAACAAAGATTTGTGTGAATAGAGATTTACATCATTATAATATCATTAATATTTCACACCATTAGAAAGTCAGCCTAAGTTTAAACTCCATTGCCATTTTGTTCTTACCGAATGGATTGGACTGTTCTTCATTTCTTCTTAGGAATATTCCCCCTTTTTATTGTTTTTTCCGGTAATGAAAGATTGGAATGTCTGGGAGGAATGGAATGAAAGAACCGATCATAATCAATCTCATCAATTAGCACTATTTTGATGCTCGACTGTTTATCCGCTCAGGATAGGGTGGTGCCTCCATAAGGAGGCTATATTGGCTCTCCGCCTGTTGCTACCAAGAACCATGATCCATTATGTCTTCCACAGCATTTGAAAATAGATATAGATATATATATATATATATTTTTATCACGAACAAGATTTGGAAAATTTCTAGAAATCGTCTAAATCAAATGGTAGCTTTATTAATTTTCAAGGAAATATGGATAGGGATTACAAAAGTTTCGTTCCGAAGGGTGGAGCTGGACAAACTCCTCCCATTTAGGTGGAGGAGCTCGTTCGGCTCCTCCATTTGGAACAAAAATTTCCAAATGAAAATTATTTTCCATCTTCGAATGCCCGGTAAACCAAAATGGAACTACCTCATGACAATGGGACATCAAAGCTCCACTTGATTCATTAACACATGCACTCAGAAATTAGAGTGGACTTACCTCAAAAAGGTAATCACAGCCGCTCTCAATAGGAAATGAGGATTTCCTACCAAAGTTCCTTGAACATAAAAAAAAAGCAGTTTAATATTTACTAAATTCCAATGCTTGATGCTATTGGGTTTTACTCCGGATTTACATTTCCCTGTAAATTCATTCAACAATCACAAAATTCTTCAAATTACATATAATAAATAATCAAATGATTCAACAATTCAAGTACCTAAATGATTGAAAGTGACAAGCCATGAATTACGTATCAGTGTCTTGTCTGAAACATGGCACTCAGAACATACATTGAAAAGCTCAACATATTTGTAGGCTCTTGATCTTCTGCATCGAGGTTAAACGGTGTGTTGTGTTCTCCAAAATATTGATGAAACTGCAAGATAGACTCCCAGCTCCATATCCCCGGGACCTGTTACATAAATTAGTGACTTAAACGACACATATGTAAGTAGGATATTATGCAAAGACTCATATTCATCAAACTAATAATAATTTGAATTACAATGTGAGGAACAAACAAACTATAGGCTTGAATCATATCAGAAAACGGTGAATTTAAGAAATTTTATACGGTAAAACACCTACATAAACATATGCGAACAATATAATATATGATTCTCAAACTTAATAATCCCAATACAATTAGAAGTTGCCCAAAAAAAAAAAAAAAAAAAGTGACATTCAAGATCTATGCACTGCCTTCCAAGAGAAAAGAAAAGAAAACTAATTACAAGGGTTTTTTTTTTTTTCGGCAAATTATACTAATTGCAAGTTCATCACAACTCTACCTAAGTTATTATTGGTTGAAGGAAGCATTAAAGATCCAATGATCAAAATCGCTTTGGCCTAGCTTCTGCTACAGACACCCGGATCGCCCTGCCATTCAAGTCCTGCACCATAGGGATGTTCAGAAGTGATCACAGAGTTGGAAAGAAGTAAAGCATAATACTGAAGAAAAACTTCAACAAGATCCGTTGCATCAATAAAGACATGGCAATTAAACACAACACAAGTAATTGGATTATATAACATACGCAATACATACTAAATTTAAAATTAACAAAATTACCATTTTTGTACGATAACTTGATCTTATAAGAGTTCCAATTTCTCTATGCCTATGTATGTTTATCATCCATTTTGTTCTATTGAACAACTAAGGAATATTTCCTCTAAGATACAAGTACTACTAGTTACGACACATACTCAAGACACCAGAATATGTCAATCCGCCATGAGAAGAAAATACATTATCAAATTTCATGAGTGGATAAAAGCATCAATGAGCCTTTACATATTTGCCCCCTAAAATTCATTAGTTTATGAAACAAATATTCATACCCGTAAAAATGGTTAAATAGCTAAGTGCCAAGCAAATCTAAAATCACTATAGACAAGAGTCACAAATGTTTGATGGACATATATAAGCCAAATCATAAATGATCGTAAAAGCATTTTACTGGTCATCAACCAATCCTGGTACAAAACTACATCTTAACAATAGTGTGCCGAAAAATATTGTCTATGGAACACCAACTAATGCAATTACTTCCATAAGAAATCCCATCATAACATACTGCAAACAAATGGAAGGTGCAGAGTAAGTATGAAAAGAAGAAGGAACTGGTTAAGTTCTCAGTGTAAAGATGTGAAAATGTTTCTAACAAGTAGCAACTCCACCAATAACATATACCAAAATTTACAAGTCATTGGATTGCTGAGAATCATATGACAGGAACTGAATTCAAACTGAATCTTCATTGTTATAGGATAAAGTTGGAGATGCTGTTATAAGATTCCAAATGTTCTATTCATTTATTTATCTATTTATTCCTGCTTCCTAGCAATCAAAATGGCCCACCGATAATTTATAAGTAGTACATATCAAAGAAAAGGCTAATAATATATACTTACAGCGCCATCAAACGATTCAATTGCTCTGTCGACTTCCTCCGCAGAGCTATAAGTTACAAATCCAAAACCCCTTGATCTACCACTGTCCCTGTCATAAACCACCCTGGCTTCCACGACCTTCCCTTGCTCACTAAACAAGTTCTGGAGTGCCAAATCATCAACGCCCCAAGAAAGATTACCCACGTAAAGCCTATTGTTGTTATCAAAACTTGAACCACCACTCCTGGGACCTCTAAAAGAAGATTCTTCCCTCGGAGGGGGCGCCCCAGAATTCACCCTCAATGACCGTCCATCGAATTGCTGCCAAAAATCATAAATTCTTGCTTACTTACAATAACTATAACTGTGAAATATAAGAGATAAAATTAACAAATTTCAATAAAGATATAAGCCAATAAGTGATTGAAATCCAAACTCAAAACTTTGGACCATCAAGCACCAGGAATGACACTTGGGACATGACCAAACCAATTCATACCACCCAATAATGTGCCAAACCATTTCAAACCACCCAAAAATGTACCAAATTAATTCAAAACGCCAAAAAGCATGCAGATTGAGAAGGAAAAAAAAAATGAAGTGTAACTTACATAGCCATTAAATCTTTCAACAGCAGCTTCAACTTCTTCCGCTGTAGACATGGTCACAAAACCAAACCCCCGGCTTCTCCCAGTTTTCTTGTCATATATAACCTGCCAATGCAACTCACTTCGTAAACAAATATTTATTTCATACTTCCTTTTTCTTGAAAATTTTTCCTCCAAAAAGAAATAAAGCCCATTTTAAAGAAACAAAATCCCAACAAGTAAAACCCTGACACCACCAAAACCTCATATTTCTTTTGAATAATTTTCACAAACCAAACTGCTTCAATAAAACAACTACATGAACATATCCACTAAACCCAATTTCCACGGAATATGTTTACATCTAAAAAACGTTAAGAAAGATTCTAAAATCTCACTAAACCCTAAACCCGTAAAAACCCATATATATATATATATATATATATATATATATATTTGAAAGATTTTTAACATCCCACAACGAAAAGTAGTAGTAATACCTCAACCATCTCGACAGTTCCGGCTTCTCCGAACAAGTCGGCTAGGGCGGCACTGTCAGCGCTGAAGGGCAAGTTCCCGACGAAGAGTTTGAGGTCTGGAGCGAAACTTGGCTCCACCTCCCCGGTGAAGACCTCTTCTTGGTCGAAGTCGGAGACGGCGACGTTTCGAACGAAGAGTGACGGCGAAGACTCGGAGGGTCTTGTGAAAGAGGAAAGAAACGAAGGAGATATGGAGATGGATTTGGGAGGGGTTGTCCTGAGCGATGAGATAGAATAGAGAGAGAGTGAGGCGGTGGCTGGTTTAGGGTTGGAGAGGGTTAGGGTTTTGGGGCATAGAGAGAGAAAGTGGAGGGAAGAGGTAGAGGAAGACATGGCTGCAAGAGGAGTGCAGTGTTGGTAGTGCGAGAGAAATGTATAGGAGAGGATAAGGTTTCAAAGGGAAAGGGTTGAAGAGTGAGATAAAGAGGAAGAGGGATAAGATATTTATGGAGAGACAATAAGGAAAAGAGGATAGCAGTGAGACGCATATGCCCCTGTGGTCTTGTGAAATTACTACAATACTTCAGAATTGTATTAAAAAAAAATGAAAAACCTTTTTAGTCAATTGCAACGGTAAAAAAAAAAAATCTATAAGATATTTATGGAGAGACAATAAGGAAAAGAGGATAGCAGTGAGACGCATATGCCCCTGTGGTCTTGTGAAATTACTACAATATAAGAACTTCAGAATTGTATTTAAAAAATAAAAAATAAAAAAGAGGAAAAATCTTTTTAGTCAATTGCAACGTAAAAAAAAATCTTAGATGTTTTTTTTTTTTTTTTCTAAACAAAGTTCACAAAATAAGTTAAAGGCTTGTTTGTTATGCGTTTTGTTTTTCATATTTTTGTTTTTGTCAAAAAAAAATGTGTGCTTAGTAAAAAATGTTTTGTTTTGTACAATATCGAAACGTTTTGTAAATATTGCCCAAGACCTCAAATACCAATTTAATATTTTTATATGTTTTTGTACTATAGTATTTGATATGGTAAGGATGAACAATAAATTTTAAAAAAAAAAAAAAAATCTTAAATGGCATTTTTAAACTAACCATTATTTTTTTCAAACTTGTAACATTTTTTTATTAAATATGTTCATATTTTTTCTTTAAAAAATCTTACAACAAATAAATATTATCAAACATGTTTTTTATTACCATTCAAAACATTTTACAACAAAACACTTAGTTTTGTTTTGAGTTAAAATTAAACGTTAAAAACAAAACGCATATAAGAATTGACAGAGATTAGGATTTCAAATATAGCATAATGAAAATTTGGGATTCATGCAGTTAACCTAATGTAATTGAAAAATAAAAAAGCTTAGTTGTATACAAATCAAATCTAAATACAAGATCAATTTCATACGACGAGTTTGAGTTTAACTTATTTATTTAAGGGTTAAGAGCAAAAAACCCTCTCTACTATCGATATAGTGCAAAAAGGTCATTGTGTAGTATAAAACAACATATATTATCAATTTGGTACAAATAGGCCCATTTGGAGACTTAAAATGACGATAATACCCTCACTTCAGTTGAATAAATTAATAACTATAAATTTAGGCAATGTAAAATGACAATTTTGTCCAATTTGTGTAAGATTGTATTTATTTGGAACAAGAATAAAATAAATCTCAATTTGTATAAGATTTGGATAAGCTAAACCAAACAAACCTAAAATCGAATATAATAAAAATCGAAACCAAACACCCTCTGTGTAAATAACCCAATATTGGTTCACAGTCAATAACATCTTCACCATCTAGAGTAACGATGAGTCGAAGAACACCATGCATTGATGGGTGTTGAGGGCCCATATTGACTATCATGAGGTCTTTTCTTGTAGCTGTTGCAGTCATAAGTTTTTCCCCGATTCATTCTTCCATGAATTGCTGAAAGCGAAAAGAAGTTCATCAAAAATTAAGCGAATAATTCAAAATGACTCATCAAATTAACGAGTTTTTGTCTCTCGAATACCCAACTGACTAATTAATTCTTTATAACGTACTCTATTTTTTTTTTGACAAATAAGCCAATAGCCTTTGACAAATAAGCCAATAGCCGTTGACGTTTTCCCAGAATTTTCCGCAGACCCCTCTGAGATAAATAGTCTTTTTTGTGCAATTCCAAATGAGAGATGCTGATAGTCCATATTTCTATTGGTTGGAAGGAAGTCTTGTAGGTGTGTAACGACCCACTCCACCACATGGTATGATATTGTCCGTTTTGGGCCTGAGCCCTCACGGTTTTGCTCTTGAGTTTTACCCCAAAAGGCCTCATACCAATTGGAGGTGACACACTTACATATAAGCACTTCACATTTCCTCTACCCAGGCGATGTGGGATTATGCACCGCACCCGTAGCTCGCTAGTGTGGTAGCCTGACAGTATCTCTCGCACCCGCCCACGGCACACCCGCCCACAGGGTCATCACAATCCACCCCCCTTGGAGGCCCGACGTCCCCGTCGGCACACTTCCGGCTGGGTTAGGCTCTGATACCATTTGTAACAACCCACTCCACTACATGGTATGATATTGTCCGCTTTGGGCCTGAGCTCGCGCAGTTTTGCTCTTGGGCTTCACCCCAAAAGGCCCCATACCAATTGGAGGTGACACACTTACATATAAGCACTTCACCTTTCCTCTACCCAGGCGATGTGGGATTATGCACCGCACCCGTAGCTCGCCAGTGTGGTAGCCTGATAGTATCTCTCGCATCCCCCCACGGCACACCCGCCCACAGGGTCATCACAATCCACCAAACCATATGCACCATAATCACGTATACAGTGTGATAGAGAGAAAACAGAGAGAAAGATTGAAAGGAAATACATAGTGAACTTGAGTGATTCAAGGAGGAGTTCGGGACTGAATTAGGAACAGCAGAGGCTGTTTGATACAACCAAGGTAGCCAAAGAAGATAGAGACAACAGTTGGGGGTTTTTAAACCAAAGTCTCAAGGCAAGTTCTATTTCCACTCTATCTCTTTAATCTGTGTTCTATACAGGCTTAGAAAAACTCTAAGGATTAAACCAAGATTAAAAACAGGTTAATGATTAAATTTATCTTGTATGCATGTTCAAATGGAAATAAATCTCGTGAATCAAACTGTGCAAATTTTTAAAGAAACTGTGAACTGATGCATGCTGTGTCTTGGGTTCAAGCTTGGTTAATTGGGATTATTGATGCATGTTGGGGGGTTTCTCATATAATCTAGGATAGTGTATAAACACTGGAATAAGGTTTTAAAATACTAAATAGGTTTTGAACTTAGCCGGAGGCGAGGAAGACAACCAGAGAAGGAATTACGGCTCTCAAAGGAGGAGAGCCGGCTCACCAAATGAGGGAGCCGGCTCTAGGGGGTGTGAGAGCCAGCTCCACAAGGGATTGGAGCCGGCTCCACAAGGGTAGAGCCGGCTCCAATAAGGGAGGAGCAGGCTCCACCAAGAAGGGAGGCGGCTCCAATATTCTGGAGGCGGCTCCAGCTTCTTTTCTTGCTTCTGCATGATTTTGGGTTGTTTCTGGACCTATGGGAAGATGACTGGGTTGTTTCAGTGGGTAAAATTGGGTTGTATAATAGTTCCAAAGATGTAAAAATGGTTGGAAGTATTGTTAATGGTATTGTGTTGAACCTTGAAGCAACCTAAGGTTAAACGAAGAAACTGCATATGTGAAGTTGTTTTTGAAATCTTTGTAAACTGTTTATTGCTTTGAGCAAAGTTTTGGGTTCTTTTGCATGTTTAATTTATCAAGCGTTCAACTATGTTATAAGCATATGTTTATCTATCTAGAAGATTAAGTATGCTTAAATGGAATTAATGGATGTTTTAAATTTATCAACTATTGCATCAGATATGGTTGTGCAGGAGGAGTGGTAGGTTTCAGTCTTACTTAATAAAATGGGACTGGAAAGGGATTTCTAAACCTTATGTAGGATGATTAATGTGTTGTACACATGTTAAACTGTTTATATGCAAATCTTGAAGTATGGTGGATTGGTATTTATTATTATTCCGTTAACTATATTAACTGGAGGAACTACATGTACAGTCTTTTCATATATATATAAAGCACTGTAATGTGATATTTAAATGGTATATTGGATGCATAAATTGGTTGTAAATATGTTAAACTATATTTATGTTTCTTTTGGAAATTAGTTGATACATGTTTATGCTGTGTTATTAACTATGGAACTGGAGGAGTGTATGCACTAGTATGGGACGGTGGCATACTAGGTATGGATTAGTACAAACACTAAGTCCTACCTAATTTGGATTAAGGCATGGATTAACCCTATGAGTTAAGTCCATCACCTACTTGTGTCATATTAATCAAATAATTGAATGACTTGATATGGTTTCAGGATGGATTTGCTTTACATTTATCAAACCCCTTTTCAGATGGTTGAAATTTTGTAATAGGAGGACACGGACTTTATATATTTATTATATATGCCATGGTATGAGCTTGAGTCTCAGGACCATGGTTAGGGTGCGTATATTACCTAGGATGGATAGCTGGACAGAGGTGTTGTTCCCTGGTAGGTCTAGATACACATGACCACAGTATGTGCGATTTGCATGGTATCTCTATTCAAGCTGAGACAGACCTTTTTGGACTAGTGAGCGTCCTATAGTGTGTACTTATACATATATGGACTACTCTATATATTGTTGAGTCTTTCTAGTATATATCTGCGTATCGGATTCCTGTTTGGATTGTAGTAGATCAGGACTTGCATGTGGGCCCGACCCACCCTTATATTTTTCAGGTACTCGTCAGTTCCAGGGTTAGAGTTTGATCGTGCAGAGCAGATACAGACTTCTATTCTACCGACAACGTAGGACTTCTTTCAAGATATTATATTTAGATTTTATCTTCAGTTTTCTTCCATGCAGTTTGGGATTTTATTAGGAGTCCACTAGAGATGGATTCCCGAGTTCTTAAACTTATGGAGATTTGGATTATCAGTTTTGGATATTTATTTTAAGGATATTATTTTAGTTCCTTTCAGCTTCTATTATTTGTATTTCTTAAATAAATTTTGTATTCCGTGTTTGATTTAAAATATTAATTGTTTGATATCTCTCGGATTTGGGCCTGGGCCTGATCAACCCGTGTCTCGGATCCGAGGGGTATCTCAAGGTGCCTCAAAGATCACAGGAAGAAGATCTCAAAAGAAGTGTTGCTTAGTTATGTCCAATCGTAAAAGAGAAAGAAAAGTTGGGTCTGTTACAAAAGAACAAATCAAAGAAGGAATCTGGCCCCCGGAAAAGAAAGGGGAAATCCTACTCTTGCGAACCAGTAATTCGTTTAAGTACAGGTCGACTGGATGTGACTCTTCTTGGTTGTCTGGAGTGCAGGTGACTCCAATCCTTGCTCTTTTTTTTATTGTCCAACTGGTGAACCTTCCCCTTA